GAAGATGGCGCAGGTTCGGAAGCTGGCGCATCACACCCCTGATCATTGTGCGATCTGGATTTTTTGCCAAAAACGCCCTCACTACAGACTCAGTCTGTCGGATCCAAGCCTAAGAAGGTTTCAATTTCACTCAAAAAATATAAAAATGTCCGTTTTGACGAAATCGCTGCTCATAGGGGGGAAGAGGGCTATGAAGCCGGGAACATGGTCCTTTTCCAGTCGCCCAAAGAGAGGACTGAAGATCGCCGTATGGTTGGTGGCACAGAGCCTGCCTTAGGTTTGAGAAAGCGCAGGCGTGCAAAGGAGAGAAAGGTTCAAAACATAGACATGTTTGCCACCTAGTGAAGCTACGGACTTTGTCCATGCACGTCCAAGGGAGTCCTAGGTGTGATCATTCATCCTCTTTGGCCCCCTAGTGAAGCTACCTTAGCTATGGACTTTTGTCCATGCACGTCCAAGGGAGTCCTAGATCTGATCATTCATTCCTCTTTGCCCCCTAGTGGAGCTACGGACTTTTGTCCATGCACGTCCAACCTAGATGTGATCATTCATTCCTCTTTGAAGGTGAAGGCGGACGAACGTGGGCCGCCAAGTCCCACCAGCAGGGATTTAGACTTGGCCTCGAGTGGGCACCGGCCCCTGCCATCGGATTCGGTCATCTTATTGCCGCAGTGTGGCCACGTAGCCAAATACTCAAGGACGGGTCTTCTTTTGGGAAATAAAAGGGAAAAAAAAGGCTGAACACCCGCTCGTGGGACTTAGCCCGGGGTCCAGTGTGTTCCCGGGGATTTGGTAAGATCTCATCCGGGTGAAGGAGCAAAAGTTTGACATTTGTGTTTTCCTATTATCTCCGAGTTTGTCGTATTTCAAAATTGGAACGGTCGTCTCTACTACATGTCTTTTTTTTTTCTTTTCTTTTTTTTCCGCCCTCCTTACTCTACGTCTTTCTTTTTTTTAATTTTTTTGTGAAAGCTATATTCTTCTCTCAAATTCACCTCACACTACCTACCTACCTACTAGTATGTTTAAAAGTTTTCCTTTGACTGAAAAATAAATATCAAAGAATATCGACGAATGGGGGGAAATAGGTGAAAAATCCACCGGAAAGAGGTAGTGCAAACTGCAAGTGCCCGACGCCGCCGACGGCGAGGATGTGCTGCGTATGTCCGCCGCAAACATCCGCGGGCGGCCCGAGCAGCTCCGTGGACCACCGCGGGTTGCGAGGTATCGCCTGACGTGCTAGCGTCACGTGTTTCTTTTTGTGTGTGTGTGGCACTGTGTGGCGGTGGGCGAACGTACTACAACGAGCGACGGCGTGCATGAGCATCATAGAGTCACAGCGAGGCAAACCCTCCGTATTGTTCTCCCCATCGTCCTGCACCTCCTACGCCCCCTTCCACTCCTCTGCCTCCTCAAGCTGCAGCTCTTCCTCGCTTTGCTGTTCGACTCAGAGAATCTCCCGGGACCAAACTGGAGTTCCAATAGAACGAGCAGCCGCAGACGGGCCGTCCTTCGGGATGTCCGTTAAAATTGGAACGGTTCAAAGAAGATAGCATGGCCTGCGCAAGCATAAATCGGGACGCAAATCGACCCGAGAGAGAGAGAGAGAGAGAGAGAGAGAGAGAGAGAGAGAGATTCCTCACCGTGCTACTGCTCGGCGTGCTTCCCTCTGCCGCTCGGCTTGCAGAATATTACGCTGCCAGCTAGCGATACCATTGAAACATAATTCGCGTACAAAATAGAGAAAGTAAGAAGGGGAGAGAGAGAGAGAGAGAGAGAGAGAGAGAGAGAGAGAGAGAGAGAGAGAGAGAGAGAGAGAGAGAGAGAGAGAGCGTTCCCTGTAGTCCTCCAAAACAAATACTGCCAATTTAGGCATTAAGAACATCCTGCTCTTGCGGTGATCAAGAATAGTAAAGCCGGGCAAGGCGCGGCGAGGGCGCCAGGACGAAGTATTTTCGTTGTCGCTTACTCCGTAGTAGTCCTTACCTCGGTCCGTCATTACGCCTGTTCTTCCGTTGTCGTCATCGCAAGCGCGTATGGGACGGCACGAGAGGAGTACACGATTTCCGAGAGAGAGAGAGAGAGAGAGAGAGAGAGAGAGAGAGAGAGAGAGAGGAGCTGTGGAGGTATCGACATTGCCTCGGACTTGATGTCGCCCTACCGCCGAGAATAGGAGCAAGAACCAATGGTCGGGGCCAATGATCGAGCAAAGGAGCAAGAACCAATGGTCGAAGCTAAGGAGCCAAGGACGTTATCACTCACTCTACGATCATCTACCAATCACTACGAGCTGCACTGTTCTATCAGCTGCTACGGCCCTTCAGCTTGCAATGCGGCTCGCTCTTGCAGTGGCCTAAGCCTGACCCTTTGCGTCACATTGCGTGGGTTCGATCGGTTGCCTTGCAAAACACCGAGTGACCACGCCCTGCTTGGTTAGCCGGCGACGGGCATCGCGCGGACCTCCACACTCTTCTTCAGAGTCCTCCTCACCAAGTTGAAGTTGGTATAGTGCCGAGAGTCCCAAGACCATCCATGTTCCGGAGGCGTTCCCAGCATTCGCACGCCGTTTCTCCTGTTTTGGAATTTCGAAACAGAGGAGTCACGAGTGGATTGTATTGTCTTTTGTCAAATTGTCCATGTCGATATAATCCTGATAAGGTTAGTTAAGCTAAGTGAGGGAAAGTTCGCTGGAAACGTTGGCCAGTGTCCACATCATTGTCGTTAGACTCGTTATTAGGAAATGACCACGTCATATACAGGGAGTCGCTCCGGCGGCTCCGCTGCTTGGCAATGCTTTTCTTAACCGATTGAGAGACTCACGAGATTGGTGGCTGGCTGCCTTGAGCCTCGACTCACTTGCTGATTGCTTTTCCTGTGGCCAATTGAGGAATGATTAACTGAAAACGAGCAGCGTAGAGCACCCATTATCACTTTGGCGAGCTAGGAGGGGCCTGGAGGGCTGCTCGCCTTTCACGGACATTTTTTTCTGGTGCACAATGCACTGGCCTCGCCTCTGAGCTGTGAGCGCTGCCTGGCAATGCACGGACATTTTCAAAGGCAGGCCAGCCGGGGCAGGAGCGAGAGACATGCCATGAGAGCAAGGCGACGAGAAAGGAATTGGGAGAAGTGGTGAGGTGTGGAGCGGTGAGGCAGTTTAGTGAGGTCGAGGGAGGGGTCTCTGGTCTGTGACTCCGTGGTGAGTCTGGTGGCCACTCATCGAAGTGGTAGAGGAGTATGGTGGGTGGCACAGCGAGAAAGAGGAGTAAGTTGTGAGTCGCAGAGAACGGATGGAGAGCAGGTAGGAGCTCGACAAGCCAGAAGGGGAATCACATTCAAATCAATATGTGATGATTCAGGGCAGTTTGCTTGAGATAGGACGAGGCCTTGACTGTTTGTCTCAGGTTGAGACTCTTGAGAGGAAGTCGCGCGCTCATTTGTACATCCTTACGTACTTATTATTTTAATCTCTGGTCTAAATTTGTCTTTCACTTCTCTGTCTCTCTCTACCTGGCACTGCTGGTTGTTTCTCGCTTTCTGGCTTTTTGCTAATTTGAAACCTTTTTTTTCGAGCTCGAACTACACAATCAAACCCAGAAGTAGTAAGGACTACTAAGGAGTGTCGCCTTGGATGGCGGTTGGGCCGGGTTGGCCAATTCCGTTTCGGCTTAGTACTTAGTACTTACTGTGTAGTTCCGAAGAGTTTACGCGAAGAGTTTGCGGGGATGGTAGCTGATGAGGGGACGGCCTTAACTAGTACCAGATAAGGTTGGAATGAATAGAATAGGGAAGCCTGGCCATATGCAGAGAGAGAGAGAGAGAGAGAGAGAGAGAGAGAGAGAGAGAGAGAGAGAGAGAGAGAGAGAGAGAGAGAGATCTTTTTATAGGCAGGAGACAGTGGTGGTGATTTCTATCTGAAAATATGAGGAGATCAGACGGGAGCAGAGGGGAACAGGCAACTGCTACGAGATTTGCATTTCGAGCTTGTTTTTGCCTTTGAGAGGCACTGACCGTGTCTTTCGTCTTTCTTTGTAAGCCGGGAGTCGGGATGTTTGAGCATCTCGACGCACAGCCGGAAGTGGGGCAACTTGAAGTCTTGAAGTCTTGAAGCCTTGTGTCTGAACCGTGAAGGTCCACTAGTGCAGGCGAAAGCAACTAGCTGTGTCATCTTGAATCGGGGACGGAAAGAACGGGGTGTGGGAAGTTGGAAACCGCCTCGTCTCAAGGGGAAGAGACGAGAGCAGAGAACGGGATACGGCACGCTCGCGTCATACTTGTCGTACACTTTTGCCCTCGTCACTCCACTCTCCGACTCTCTTTGTCAACCTCCCTCTCTGTCTCTCTCCAACGAACGCTCACACACGCCGGAGAAGGATCTCTCTCTCTCTCTCTCTCTCTCTCTCTCTCTCTCTCTCTCTCTCTCTCTCTCTCTCTCTCTCTCTNTCTCTCTCTCTCTCTCTCTCTCTCTCTCTCTCTCTCTCTCTCTCTCTCTCTCTCTCTCTCTCTCTCTCTCTCTCTCTCTCTCTCTCTCTCAGGATCCCGGTTTTAGTTTCTGGAAGGGGGCAGTTGGGAGTCGAGACAGTCTTTGTGTCTGGATCGCAGAGGCGTGGAAGGATGTGTAGGGAATGGGACAAGGAAGGGTGTCGTACTGAACCCCCGGAGTCAGTGGACGTCGGACGAGGTACGGGTTCGTTTCGTAGTCCCAACAGCCTGAGTGACATCTCGACTCTCTAGCTCCGCCTAGACCTCATTGCATGGTTGACGTAGCCAGATCTTTGTGACTCCTGCACCGGAGACCATACAATCACGACCATCCGCTGCAGCAGGATGGTCTTGTCTATGTACGGCCATGAGACGACGAGGCAACGAACGTGAGCTTTGGTAGGTGGGGTAGTACTAGTGGTACTATTGCCAGTTGCACGTGCAGGAAGAACAGTGAGAGACTGAGAGTAGTAGTTCCTATCTTTGTGGGTGGGGTGATTGTGGTTTAATTAGTAATTGACGGAGAGAAAGAGAGGAGAATCAGATCCCGGTGGTGTTTAGAGACGGGTTATAACGTTCTATCTTTGCAATGGCTGTCGAGACGCCGACTACTGCCATGAGATCAGCAGTAGCAGGAGAGGGAGCGCAGCAGCAGGAGGAAGTGCTGGAAGTGACCGTTGGATCAACGTCGTCATTGAAGGCTAGCCGTACTTCCAGTAGGGAGGACCCGTACGCTATCCTCAGACTGGGGTTGATTCAGTATCGTACAGATGAGACACCAAGGATAGGCGCACGTCCAGCTTGGAATCACCGATTCTGTTTCCCACTCCCGGCCAACTACAAGACAAGAAAGGAGGGGGAAGGAGGCAATGTCATGATGGCGGAGCCTAGACAGCTACATGTGGAGATATGGGAGAAGACGGAAACGCTGATGGGACGAAGTGACAAGTTTGTCGGCTTCTGCGACATCGACCTGATTCAAGTGTTTGAGAAGAAAGACGTGGATCTTCACGAGCCAGTTTATCGCCGTGACGGAACACGTGTCAGCTTTGTGCGATTTCATCTTTCCATATCACCGGTGGTTGTGCCTTGTCCAGCGCCTGGTGCAGGAGCAGGAGCAGGAGCAGGAGCAGGAGCACCTCCCCCTCTTGCAGACCTGAAAGGTGCCTCCCCGCGAAGTCGAGCTGCCCTACAGGAGTCGATGGGCAGTGGGGTAGATAGAGAACAGATGCAGTCGACTCCTCCGAACGTGTCCACCATGTTCCGTGCACGTGGCAGTGGCACGGTTATGGATGATGAGGCCGCCCATTTGCAGTGGGCTCAGAATAACATCATGCTGTCGGCCTTGAAGCAAACAGTGGATCTGCACGCGAACGGACGCAGTAGCAGTAGTAATATTATTAGCAGCAGCAGCAGCGGCAGCAGCAGTTTCGCTCACCTTCTTGATAGAGTACACGCGGGAGCTCCTCCTCCCATGGCCGTGAGAGGAGGAGGGATCGACATTCGCAGTTCTCCTATGATGGGGGGAGCCTGTGTAACAACGGGCGGTTCTCCTTTCTGGGATGCTGGCTGCGGTAGGAGCAGCAGCGTACAATTGTCGTGTTCTTCACCGCCCTTTTGTGCACGTACCCTTCCCATGCCTGTCGTGCCCTCCTTTTCTGTGTCTGGGGCTTTAGGTCTTCCCTCAACGTCCTCCTTGGCTAGAGAATTGCAGCAGCAGCGGCAGCAGCAGCAGCAGCAGCAGCATGCTACTCCAACGGACATAGATGTGATTAGGATGATGACTAGGGCTACCACTGGCTCGGCGATTGCCACTGCGGCTCCACCAACTTTCGTGACTTCGTTCCAAGGACATCATTGGCCGGCCAAGGTCTCCGACGTCGATCGTCCTCATCAGCTACGCCCATCGATGAGCGATGCTGCTGCAGCTTCTACTATTGATGCGATTGCTTCTGCGTTGTGCTCGAACAACTTCAACGTAGTGCCTGCTACGTGGGTGCCTCCGACCGTGGGTTCGGTTCCGTCGGTGCTGGCTGGCATTGGAATTGGACAAATCCGTGAAGGGCACGGCTATGGTGGAAGTTGTGCTGAACCTATCACACACTCGGAACGGTGGCCATCGTTTAGCAGCTCACCGTTCTCACGAGCAGCGGGGCCGGAGGCAATGCAGGCTCAGACGGAGAAGGGAGGAGGTCTGGAGGTGGGTGGTTTCTCGCCGACCTCCTCCTCGGAAGCGATGTTCATGACAAACAGAGCTAGAGACGGAATTAGCAAAGGCCAAACATCGCTGGCTGACTGGCAAGCTACAGCTCTGAGAGGAGGATTCCCTTGGCAAAGTCAGGTACATCTGCTGCAGCCCGACGGTAATCAATGTGCGCGTGTGAACGGCAGCAGTAGCAAACGTGAGCTACGTGAGTCTCTTGGTCAAAAAGACTTATCAGCTTGTCCTTATGCAATACCTCAGGGCCCGCCAGTTTCCCTGCAGGGGGCGATGAGTCGTGAATTGGGAGTAGTGGCTACAGGTGGTGGTGCACCAAGTGGTGCTCGAGCTAGTCCCTCACTCACTGGGAACTGCTTGAAGCAACGGGCAGGGCCGTGGGAGGAGGAGGCGGCAGGTTCTCGCTTGACGACAAGCGGAGGATCTTGCTATGATCTTCTTCTGGAAAGGACTGCCGATTGCGGCAGTAGAGACGGAACCAAATGTAAGGACCAGACTTTGATGGAGGCGAGCAGCTGTTGGGGAAGCCTCCTTCTCCCGCCTGTCCTCGATCATCAGCGCGAGCAGCCGCAGACGTTGGGCACTATCGATACACGACCGCCTTCCTTCTGCTCTGGTGAGAAGCGCGTTGTCGTCGACTCTGCTGCGACTGACGGCGGAGTCGCACGGCTTACGCCTCTCGTGCAGTCGGAGGGAGAGCGGTCTGCTGTAACTGGGATGGCCGCTGCTGACCAGAGCAGCACGCCGTGTACTTCCAGGATTGCTCCCTCGTCCCTTGACCGGCGACGTGGTTTGCCCCGTGATGCAGAGGTTGGCGCTCAGCGGAGTCAGAGCTATTACCTCTCGGCAAAGCCGCCGGCTTCTCCGCTGGGTGGTGGCACACAATCATCATGCGTGCTGTCCGAGGCGACTTCTCAGCCCTCTCCGTCGTCTTCTCCGTCCTCGCTGCCATCCGTAGCTGCAACGCCCTCGCCATCGCCATCCTCTTGTCCATCGTCCTCTTCTCCCTCATGGTCTCCTTCCCCTCCATCTTCTCCGTCTTCTGAAACTCCCACGCAAAACACCATCGCTGCGAGTGACACAAGCACCACCGACGTGCTACGTGTCGACTCCAGGACGACTGCAGAAAACGAACCCGGCGCATGGCAGCCCCCTTACCAGCTGCCGCAGGCCGGCGATTCGCACCCGCCTCCCACTCGAGCGGGCGAGTCACGTGGTATCACTGGTATGTCTCCGCTTCCGCCGGCCTTTGCGGCTTCGTCCCCGTCAACGTCTTCCTCCCCCACCCCATGCGTGCCTCCTCCTTGCAGTAAGCTGCCTCCGGTGGCAATGGCCGCTGCTGCTGTACTGGACTCGGCGGCGGTTCGAACATCAGCAGCACGAGCTTGTGCTGCCGCGTCGGGGCCGAGTTTCGGTCATTGCCAAGAGGCGATGCTTTCTCCTTGGGCTCCAGCAACGCCTGTGCGGACGGGAGGAAGAGCCCTGGACGGTTGCCGTAGCGAGAGGCCTTCCGCCGGTACACAAAGACGCCCTCTTGTCTTCTCCACGAGGCCCATGCAGCAACAAGCAGGATGCTCGTCTCTGAAGTTACCCGCGAGCTCTACTACGTCGTTCACCCCGGATTCGGGAATGGTGTTGTTGGACACGGGAGGTGGTCCTCCTCCTCCTCCTCTTCCACAGCCTCCTGGACTGGTGATTACAGTCTCGGAGTCCGAGGAGGACAACGGAAGCGATACGGTACTGCCACGATGTCTTAAGCTGCAGGTCAATGGAACCGCAGAAAGAGAGGAAGGAGAGAAAGAGAGGCAGGGAGAGAAAGCTCGTGGTGGGGACTCACTTCCAGGCAGTGGCACACGAGAAAGAAGCAATGGGGCAGAAGACTTGTCAGCAGCGGAAGCTGTAATGCGTCAGAGGCTGGCAGAAGAAAGCTCTGCAGTGCCAGCAGCAGCAGCAGCAGCAGCAGTGCCAGCAGCTACGCCTGTGTCATTATCCCATTTGAACCATTTCAGCCCCTGTGCAGGGCGGGGGCCGAGCTATCTGAGCCCGACGTCTCCGCCATACCTGCCTCCTGCCGATGCCTCCAAGATGTGTGAGAGACACTCGGACCCTCAGCTGGCGTTCCGCCCAGAGCTTCGGCAAGAGCTGCATCAGCGTGAGCTTGGAACGTGTGGCTTCTCTGCAGATGATGCCGACCTTCGCTCTAAGTCGGCGGCATACGCGATAAACCGCAGCAGCTCGCGGAACTTGCCAGGCAGTCAAAGCAGCTATGACTATGGCTATAGTAGTGTCGATGGTGTCAACGGCGGCGTTCCCTCGTACGAGGCGGTCGGCTGCGGCGGCCTCCTAGTCCTGGGATCTAGTCCGTCTAGAATGAATTCCTCCCTTTCGTCTTCGGAAAGGGGGGTGGTCTGCACCAGTAGCTCCGGACAAGACGCCACCTTGGCAGGGCAAGTGGTGAAAGCACCGCCGGCATCAGCTTCTTCTCGAATTTGTGAGCCAACGACAAGAAATGTCTGCTCACCAGATCGCTCCTGGGAGGGCTTCCTCCCCGAAGGTAATTCTACTTATTCTATTCCTCTTCCTCCTCCCCATCCTCCTCGCGATGCTGGTCTCGCACCAATTCTCCGGACAGCTTGCTCGCAGGGCTTGCACGTGTCGCGAGTTGATTTGCCTAGTCAGTTCTGTTCGCTGCCTGATCCCCCTCCCTCTGGCTCTGCCAACTGCAACGCCATCGGGATCTCGCCTCTCACCGAGCCACTCGACCGACAACGAGAGCCTTACTCCGTCTCGCTTTCCCATCGCGGCTTAGGCAGAAGCGGGGTCTTTCTCCGCCTGGTGGGATGTGACGAAGGCCGCCCCAATGCAGCCGCTGCTGTCGATGGCACTTACCCTACGGTCCCTACTTATCCTCACGCCTCCGGCTTTCCTGATTTCGCTGCCGTCAACCAGATCGCCTATCGACCAGCAGCAAATCCAGTTTCGCCAGCCGATGGTCAGTTCTTTGACCATTCTCCGCCGTTGGGCACCTCCAGAGGGAAAACGCTTGTTGGGAGAAAGAGAGGGAGAGTAGTAACCGGCGAATGCCTCGGTGGAGGAGAGGTGTGTTCTCATAACGACAACCAGGAGGGAGGAGGGGATCGAATCAATTCCGACGAGGAGCCCGCTTATTGCGACGGGGATGGGTCCTCGTCCTCCCCATCCTTCATCTCGCAGTGTGCTGCACGTCCGGGTGGATTCCTAGTAGGCTCGCAAGAAACGCACTCAGAAGATCCTAGGAGCGAGCAGTGCTCTCCGCGAAGAAGTAATCCCGTTACTCTGAGTATGATGGAGGAGCGATCTTCGTCAGACTTACTCGGAGAGAGACGGCGAAGCTCGTGTCTATCCTCTTCCCTCCCGGTGGTTTCTCGGCGGTGGGCATTTGGTGAAGACATGGGATTACGTCTTTCGCTGCAGAGGAGTACATCGGCAGCGACGTTAGAAGGAGCTGAGAATGGAGCGAGGTCGCGGGCACGGGGTGGTATGCATGACGACGAGGGGGAACTGGAGGGGGAGGGGGAAGGGGAGGGGGAAGGAGAGGGGGAAGGGGTGGCCCCTGACTCGAAGCGTCGTTGCAAGCTCCCGCCCTCGTCGGTTCTACCTGAGTCGTCCACGTCATCGTCTGTGAGAAGTGATAACGTGCAGTCGCGGCCGCTGATCGACGTAGCAGCTGGGACAATGGGTGCGAGAGCACGCGTGGACATGCTGGAAACGGTCGCTGATGAGTGTACCCTTCGTCTTGGTAGAGGTCCTACCGAACCCGAGCCACCAGCAGGCGCTTCGTTCGGCGGGGCAAGCACACTTGACATTCGGCGAATGAAGAGAGAGCTGTTGCCACAGCAGGGACTGAGATTCGATGGAGAAGTAGGCGGCCACGACGTGTGCGAGCTCGGAGAAGAAGGGTGGGGAGGGACTGGTTTCGGAGGAGAGGTAGACGATGGGATGGAAGGAGGACGAAAGGGGGTGGAGACAGGAGCTTTGGCAGGTGATTGGCTGTGCGGAGGACTGAATCCAAGGGCAAGTCCCGATATGATAGCAAGACTAGAGCCGAGGATCGCCCTCGCTGAAGCTGCTGCTGCGGCGAGAAAGAGACCGCGAACTGCAGTCACTACTGTGCTAGTAGGAGCAGACATCCTTAACAGCGTTGACGTCAACGGTGCCGACGAGAGAACCAACGTCAACGTGGAGAAGAGCGATCACAGGTCCTCCTCGGCGCGTAGCACTCCACCCTTCTTCTTTTGCATTCCTCGGGCTCTGCAACAAGTGAAGGCCATGCCCACTTAGCCTCTACTGGTTAGGTGTTTTCCTCCTGACAAGCCGTTGGACCGGCGTTGGCTGTGTGTTCGATTCTGGGATGCGCTGCATTGGGGCATGCATGCCGACGTACAAGTAGCTGCTAGCCTGCTGCTGCTGCTGCCAGATAGAGACTGAATGACTTCCGCTAGGAGGTCACACGTGTGGCCTGTGCTGACTGTGGACGCTACAGTTTTCCTCAACAGCCAGTTGAACTGTGCGCTGTAAAGTTTCCTGAAGACAAGGAGTGAGTGTGTGCCGGCATTTACGACTTTCTCGAGCGAATTTGGCCATAATTGTGGGCAGATGCGTCCAGAAAAAAGCACCCTCCTCTATGTCGGTACTACAGTACGTATGTCCTGAGTTCACCTGACGGACGAGTGGACTCCGTTTAGCGCAGTCGTCGACTGGGCAATGGGCATGGCACAGATCTCTTCTGCGGCGGACCAGATAGATATAACGCAGATGAACTTGCTTACCTTATCGTTTTTCTTTCCCTTATAACTTTATGAGCTTGCTTACCCTTCACCTTTTCCTTTCTTTTCTTATGAGCCTTGCTCAGCCTTCAGTACATACAGTCAGTGGAGTTCGTTGATGTCAACTTGGTGATACTAATTAAGATCGTTGTCATGATGTCATCCCTTCTTCGCTCCTTCTGGATTTAATTTACCACTCGACGTAGTCGATCAGGCTCGATGCACTTCTTCTTCGCCCGAGTGTGTTCCTAGTCTTTCCTTTCGAACTCTCTCTTCAACTCTCTCTTTCCCCCCCCTCCCCTCCTCCAATTTTCATCCATGTCATGTTATCCAATGGGATGGGAAGTTTTTTTGCAACCGAGTTACTGTATGTAAGATATCCAATGTCATGATTTCCCATTTGCCGAAATCGGACTGTCTTTAGCGGCAACGTCGTTGGGCTGAACTTGGGCATGTTTTTTTGGCAAGGCAAGAGGAAGAAATACCAATACCTTATCTGTTTGGAATTTGTGAATGTCGAATCTTTCCGTTTTCTTTCTTTCCCCTGTTTTCTCCTCCCTTCTCCCTTTTTTTGGCAAGGCAAGAGGAAGAAATACCAATACCTTATCTGTTTGGCATGTGAATACGAACACACAGTGTCACACACAACCCGGTCTACTCAGATCGGTGGCATACGCGCACAGTTCGGTCTCTCCTTTCCCATCATCAAGCATAGTCACAATAATCCCTCGCCTGAGGCAAGAGGAAGAAATGCCAATACCTTATCTGTTTGGAATTTGTGAATGTCGAATCTTTCTGTTTTCTTTCTTTCCCCGGTTTTCTCCTCCCTTCTCCCTTTTTTTGGCAAGAGCCTAGAGGAAGAAATACCAATACCTTATCTGTTTGGGCATGTGAATACGAACACACAGTGTCACACACAACCCGGTCTACTCAGATCGGTGGCATACGCGCACAGTTTGGTCACACTCTCTCCTTTCCCATCATCAAGCATAGTGACAATAATCCCTCGCCTGAGTCGCCTCGATGAATGCCGAGGATAAGAAAGCCAGTTGGAGGCCACGATGGCCCACCAATCTGAACGGAATGGGGACAATCGTCTCTCTCGATCTACCCGTTCTGCTTTAGTTGCCCCTGATGATGGCCAGTGTTCTGTCGGCCCCGCCGAACCTCTCGTGTAGGGTAGAACCGTCAGTGGTGCTTCATGAGCCATGTCTCTATGGCGCCATGCGCCCAGTATCCTCAGTTGTGCTTCGTTGAATATTTTGAGTAATGATGCGCTCGGGAATTTTCACCTTCTTGTCTTGTCTCTTGTCTGTCTTTGGCTTCGTCCTTATTATTGAACTGCACGCACTTGCTTTGTGAAAGTTTACGTTGCTCATGCCATGTCATAATGTCGAAACGCCGCAGTGCAGAATGCCTACGAAATAAAATTCAAACTGCCTGTGAATCTCCTCGGGCGTCAGGATCCTTCTTTGCATTGACGTATTGCAAAGTTGCAAACAGTATTTGTTTTTTAAGTCTTTAGACGATTCTGATGAGAATGCTGATCGAGTGCATCGTCGTTACGTCGTATGGTCCGGTCAGCATAGGGGGGCAGGTCGGGCCGAAATCATCCCACTCGATGGTTGCGCCTCAAATTCCTCCGACCGACGCTCTCTACCAGATCACCACTCGTGCACGCTCATCTAGTACCACGCTCATTCATTACCACGCTTATCCTTTTTTATTTTATTATTATTTTTTTTTTTCCTGCCCCTCTAAGCAAAAAATAGAACGGGTTCAGCGGGCTCCGAAATGCTATTTTAGTCTGTGTTTGGATTAACCTTCTCCCATGTTGAAACCTCTGCAGCTCTGGATAATGCCTATGGATTGGGTAGGGAGTCGGGATCCTTCTTTGTTTGTTTCAAAAATATATCCAAGTTAATCCAACAGTGTTGTTGCATGGATCGATTTGCAGGGTGATGTCTTGAGGGAATTGTCACGAATCGTTAAAAAAAAAACGGATACTGTCGTCGACGGATTTGGATTCAAATGGACACCGTGGTATATATACAATATAGATCGTTGCCTAGAAGAATAGCCAACAAATATAAAGAACTGATTGGCTATTTGGCAATGCTTGTCTGTTTGTTCGTCAGTGCAATATTACGTATATGCTTTGAATTTGCTTTCCTTCCCAAATTCCAATGAATCAGTATGGCATCATTGGCATGTATGCTTCTATCGAAGGGGAGGATCAGAGCATGGCGTACCTCGGCCGCTGGCATAGGATGGCAATTGTTGTGAATTAATTTTAGATTCCAAGCGGGTAAGAAGAAAAACAACCCATTCCACCTTCAGCAGCGCAAACGCGCGGGAGAGCGCGACCGCGCAGCGGCGAACGCATGCATGCGGGCACGAGCGCACGCTCATGCAACACACACACGCACGAACATACACTTTCCACGCGCACGAACATACACTTTCCACGCGCACACACACAACCACATCCGCAGCAGCGCCCACACACTGACACAAGCAGTCTTCTTTCGGGATGCCAGCAGCGTTTCTGCTCAGATGGGTTCTTGTGTGTGTGTAATAGAGTAGTTTCGTCGAATTATATGGCTACCCGGACTGCAAGCCCGTAAGAATGCCACGGCCGATGTACGGCATTGTACGCTGAGAGTTTCTCCACAGGTCAATGGAGAGTTCAAGGTGCTCTGTTTGTGCCTGCGTGTGCGCCCGTGCATGTCTTGTGTGTACATATGTCCGCTCATTTTTCTGCTCTCGCATCCGCTCATAATTTGCAAGGCAGTCCACTCACGAGTCACAACTCACAGATTAATTAAATTTTACTCTTAAAGGAACCTTTTCAAGCCCCCTCCGCTCCCCCCCCTCTCGCCCCCCCTCCCCCCCCCCCCCCCCCCCCCCCCCCCCCTCTCTCTCTCTCTCTCTCTCTCTCTCTCTCTCTCTCTCTCCGTATATTTAAATATAAATATAAAAAAAATATATATATATATATATATCATCACATATATATATATATGCTTATATATACGTTTGTTGTCCTCTTCTCCCTCTCTGCCGACGGTTTATCGTCAAACAGAACTGCCCGCAGTGCCCGGTAAACCGTAGGCAGAGAGGGAGAAGAGGACAACAAACGAGGGGCTGTGACAAACTGTTTCGTCGGACCGACTCATGAGGAGGCTGAACCCTATATATATATATATATATATATATATATATATATATCTGTGTGTGTGTTTTTGTGTGCGGGCGCTTGTCTTTCGTCCTATCTCTCCTTCTCTCTTCCTTGATAAGCCTGTCTATGGGAGCTAATGTGGACCGTAATCGGATGGTAGAATCATCAAAAACATTCCGCCCGGAGACGCTATACCTGGACCAGCACGTGTCATTCTTCTGCATGCACCACGCTAATCTCTTCCTACAATCTGAACTGGTCTTCCCACGGCATTGGCAGCTAGATCATGGCAGTCGAGCCGGGCTTTCGAAGTAGGCTGTTAGTCGCGGACTCGCGGTCATCGTCTCACCGAAGCAGCGTGGAGAAGTCGGCCATGCGATGAGACCAAGAGGGACGAGGTCCGTTGGATCACGATGACCGCATGGATATTCGGTAGTCCATTGGAATGATTGGATGGCTACCGGTAGGGCATGCAGTTGTGCATTCAGGAGGGGAGATATTGAGCCCGGGCTTGCTCCACCAGAGCAGACGAGCAGTGTTCTTCGGACTGCATGTCTGTCCCTTCTGCACTAGAGATTGCCTGCAGCGGCAGTGCAGCCCACCTGGCCCCACAATGCTATGTGGAGGGGGAACACGGATCAACACACGCGAGCGTTGCTACGTGCCAAACATTACGTCCACGTCGTGAAACCGGCGACGAGTGATCTTATATAACTGAAAGGACACTAACGTCTTCCCCGAGGGCCCGAGGAGTCGAGGACAATGCACCGTGATCTTGAGGGTATACTACGGTATTACTACCTATCTTCTAGTGCTATTATCCTATGATTCCGATAGATAGAGTCATGATGGGGATGCGTTGCTTTTCGGAGGACGCTCGTGCGGTCGAGCGCTCGCTTTTTTTTACCATCGCTTCTACGTCGACAGGAAAACGGATTCGAACCCGGGTCAACGGCGGTACCTGGTGTTTAACATTATAATGATCCTGAGGTAATAATAGAGGTATCTAGTCCGTCACCGTCGTCACTATGGGCTGTGAATCCTGTGATTGCTTTTTTGCATCGCTCTACGTTAGACCGTGGGTTGGCTGAGACGCGGCTATAACACGCGCGTTCCTGTCTATCGTGACCTCGGGAGAGTCGGCCAACCGATAGCACCAGACTACCACCAGTTTTAGCGCACAGACAGAAGATGGGACTGAGTAACAGTCACAGAGTCTGTCAGGCTGTCATGTTTATTGAGTGAAAGTCAGACTTTTGCAGTTGCATCATCTTTATGGATGACAGTGACCCTCAATCGGATCGGGCGTGACCTTATCCCGTTGCTACTAGTGGGCTGGTTCGCGGACCGTTCGCCCACGATGAGTGTTTTCTTGTGCGTCTTTTTACCTTCTTGGGGGGTTGACGCCCGTGAACTTCTGTC